GCACAAACAAGCCAGCAGGCAAGCCAGCAGGCGTGCCAGCGATTGATTCTCTCGGGCTGAGGAATTTCTCCAGCCAATTTGACAGCGCTTGAATAAAAAACGCTGGAGTGATTATTGACGGCAAGCCAATGTAGAGCTTTGAAGGCAGCAGGCAAACACAGCCTCTACTCTTTTTATTCTGCGGTCATTGACCTCTCTTCTGTGTCACTTTCTACTTCTGTGAGGATGAAATCTATTTGTTCTTTCTTGAACAAAGGCACCAAATGACCTTCTCTTTTAAAAAAAGTGCTTAATTTACACCTGCCTTGTTCAGGTTCATTTATAAATATTGCAATCATTATCTGTCCCCATGGTCTGTTCATAAGAAGACAGTGATTGAACTGAAAGGCTATCAGGACAGTTCCAACTGTTACTGTTCCCTTGTTTTGTGCCATTTAGATGTATACCATGTGAAAGCACACAGAGAATCAACAATAGGAATGAGACTAATGAGGTTGGACTGTCAGAGTGACCAATGTCTTCTACTGCCAATCAAAAGGTAAATTGTGGAATTCAGGCATGTAGCAAGCATTGAGCTTTTAATCAAAACCACCTGAAGCATATTAATTTGGACATGCTGCAGAACTGCAGAGGTAAGCGTGCTGCGTTGAGGAAAACAGTAAAGGTTATGTGATATATCAAACTGCATAATTACAAAACACCGCACTTCAAATTTGTAGGCAGTGCTGTTTTTTTTCGTTAAAACCTCCAAGATAGATCCAGCGGAGTTCACATTAGGGGCACTGTGTCAGGAGGAGAGAGTCAGGGAGAGCTTTGTGCTGAATGTACTTTCATCTGGCAAGTCTCACACCCACTCTGTTTGCCAATGCGTTGTAGTGGGCTCTCTCCAGCCAATGCAGCAGCCTTTCAAACATCACTGGCTATTTGTGGGGCTGAGAAGGCTTACTGGTAAATTGGCAGCCCAGGGAATACAGGGTACTCTCACCCCAGCGCTCACCCACTCACATGCTTTCATTCCCCTTTTTACCCTTGACCACTGACTGACTGCACTCCCTCTCATTGGCCAGCTTAAATCTGCCTTTCTGAAATGTCATCTGTTCATTGTCTGCTTTCTCTTTTCCTTTTTTTCCACCTTACATTATTTTTTACTCTCTCTGAGTGTGCCAATTGAGCCTGAGCATCATTCATTCAAGCAATCTATCTTTTTAAGTATATCCTCCCTTATCTCTGCTACTCTACTTTTGATGAATAACGTATACTCATTCTTCTGGTTAATTACATCCTTCAATCATGACCAAAAAAAACCCCCACTTAAATAAAGAAGCGCACATGCTCTCAGGCTCATGTATTCACTGTAGGCATACTAACCCAATCTGTTTGAAGTGTGGGACCCTAAAAGAAGAGGGGGCTCCTGTGAGCATTAAGTATTCATGTGACGTGTTTTGAGGTGCATGCATGTGTGTGTTTGTGCAGGGGATTGTATGAATGTATTTGTGTGCATGTGTGCGGGTGCAGAGAGAAAAAGAGTTCTGGCAAATTGTGCCGCAAGCAGCCAGCAATCGAGTGCTGACACCTCGTCTGGCAGTTGCAGAATAAAGGGGCTGGGCTGAGGGGAAAAAAGAGAGAGGGAGAGGAGGGAGGAGGTATGTGTCTGTGTAGAGAGAGAGAGAGGGAAGGAAGGAGAGAGACACGGCAGGACAGCTGCCAGAATTTTTCTGATAGCAGGGGAAGGACCAAGAGGCGGAACAGAAGTAGAAATCTAAGGAGCTTTCAGTCCAGCCAGCAGTGCTGAATCGCTCCCACTCCTGCCTGTGAGCTGCACAGAAAGACCAGACCGATGGGATGTACAGCCACTCACTCAGTGGATTAAACTACATGACAGAAAACCATGCAGCTTGAGGTCTGGAGGAAGAACTGGATGGAGAAGAAATGAAAAGCTGATTTGTTTCAAAGCCTTTGAACTGTGCAGAACTTTTCCTGTTGAGGACACATGGAAGGACTTGGACATGCTTATGGGAAGGGGTTCCTCTTCTCATCCTGACCTCCTCATCCTTGCCAGCTTTTGAAAAAGAAAACTCTCTGGATTACCTGCACCCCTGGTCTGGTCTGCACCTACTCTTCCTGCAGGGCACACATCCTGTCCGCCCACCTTTTCCCTGCCCCACCTGACGCTTGCTCCATTTAGTTACTATGACGCCCACGCCTCCTCCTTCTCGTCCTTCCTCCACCCCCCCAGCTTCTTACAAACGTCTGTGAAATCAAGTGGAACCTCAATGATTGCGATCAGAGAAAAAAGGACCCCTGTGCCCTGACTAGTGAGCAACCCCCTCCTCGCTCCGTTCTCTGCGACTGTGCCGCTGTATCAAATGTGCAAATAATGGAGAACAGTGGCAACTCAGAAATGGAATGCAAAGTTGAACTGCATCATTCATCTGTTTGTTGACTATGAGCACAAACTAGACGATGGATTGGAAAGAGCTGTAAGTACATCATTGTAGGCAGCATGGTCTCACTGGTGCATGTTAAAACAAACATATGCTTCAGAGAGCACATGGTGTCTGTACATAATTTGAACAAACTCCAGTGATATTAGACTTCGGTTCGCAGATTCTGCTTTGAGCAATCAAGGCAAGTTGTGTTGGGAAACAGCTTCATTTGCATGGAGATTGAAAGTGAACAGGTGGACAAGCTGTAGTGGGCGAAAAGTAATTTGAGCCTGTTCTCACCGCCTTTTTCCTGATCTTACTTTGGTGAGCTATGGAGAAAGAAAGATAGAAGAGGGAGGGAGGGACAGGGAGAGAAAGAGGCAAGCAATTCATTTTCCTGTAAATACGTGGATGTGAAATAAACCAATTCATCCATTCTTCCTTTCTCATATGTCATTTAAGGGTGCACCTGTGTACTGCAAAATTATTGTGTAGCATGCATTAAACTTCAATGTTACGAGCTCAGCTTTGGGATGAAAAAACTCTGCAGTGGTCAAGACAGTTACAAATCAATTTAGTGCCTCTTTAGCTTGTGCAGTGGCTCGGGGTAAATCAAGCCACTTGATTCATGTCTTTGCTGGAAGAGAAAAGGCAGAACGAGGTGAGAGAAAAGAAGTGAGGTTTGTCTTGAATGAATGTGCTGCAGATATGAAAGCACAAGCGTTCTGCAAGCACACTGCCACAGTGCTCCTGGACTCCAGCGTGGTGTCTCCTTTCTATTTCTCTGTCTCACATCCATCCATTGCATCTCTTTTTTTTTCAGCCACACGATCTGTCTCACATGCTATCTCACATTTAGGCAGCTCCCTGGGGAGAGCATTCTCCTGTAGCTTTCTTGGATGCAATAATTATTCCATCAGCCAGCAGTGTGTTCAATGATTGTGCTCTTAGGCTGTCGCTGTAGGGGGTGCATGGTGAAGAGGGGAGTCCTGGAGAGGGGGGGTAGGCTGTGAAGGACTCCGAGGAGAGAAGAAGTGGAGTGTGGTTGGGTTTTTGGCAGTAGCCCACCCAATCCTGCGCACAAGAGTTGAGATTAGGACAACTGAGCTAAGGTTGGGTTTTAAGGAAGCTCACCATAGGATCTGTTTCATTTGACTCATTTTGAGATGCTCTTTTATTTCCCCTACATTTATTGCTTTGCAGATTTATCAATCATTTCTTTTGATTCTGTGAGCTACATGTTAACAACCTCTTCACTGTCCTTGGATTTCTCTGAAATCTCACTGCTTGAGTAAAAACCTTAAATGTGCATTTGGAGGAATTACTTCACCTGCCAACCTTGAATTGTAGGTTGAGGTACGTTAGCTGATCCCGGGCATTGCCATACCTGAAAAAAGTCGTAAGTTTGGCCAGATTCCCTGCGAACCCAGACAAATATATTGGTGTTTCCGTTTGACTTTTAAGACAAAAGAAGTGCAGGTCCCAGACTCAATTAGCTCTAAGAGAATGGAGACCTAAATGAGAGTAGATTTTAATTAGAAGACTGTCAAACGTGGATTCTGCTAAAGCTGGAGATTATGGTTAGTGCCAACACAGCATGTGCTTATTACTAAAGTTGTTCCTGTTTTTACATATTTAATAGTTGTGGCCAGCTTATATAGCATGATCAAACCTCCCATTAGACAATGCATTCTCCATCATACTCATTCAGCTTCTTACACTGATAGGGATGCCATGTGCATCCTATATGGTAATGTTTTAACAGTCCTCACCCGGCATGTTCATACCAGTCTTTTACGTAAGCAAATTTGTTGTCAATGTCAATCTGGAAAGCCTTTAGTCATTTGCAGGTTAAGAAAAAGACTGGTAATCATTTGTTTATGCCATGCCATTGTAATGCCACTTTAATTGGTGATATGTGACTCATCTGTGCCGCTGATCTCATGCTGCTGATTATTTCATGCTGCTATATTCATTCATACCCATCTGCTCACACAGACTCATGTTCGGGCTGCTGTTGTTACAACATATTGTTTTGCATTATTAGTGTTTGGCGTATATCAAAATGTTTTGGCATACCATTTGACATTCGTTTAGCGTATATCTCAGATCCTTATATACTGTTTCTTTTTACACATTATATTTTCGTTATTTTTGGGAGTAACTGGGACCCTGTGAACAATATTTCGTCCCACCTCATGCACCGCATATGGTGAGAATGACAATAAACCTACTTGAACTTGGTAATCATTTGTTTTATAGTTTTAACCACCATTTTTGGCTTAAGTTTGAGGCTGCAGCCTGATTCTTTTTCTTGTATGAGTTGAAGGAAATGTATTTTTAGAGTTGAGAATAAATCTGAGTGGTATACAAATAGACTTTTACTGAAATTGTTTACTGAGGCAAGCTAAAAACAAACTATTCACCTTTAAGTTGTTAAGTCTAGGTATATTATAAGCTCCTGGTAGCCCACTGAAAGGAGGATTTCCATAAGCATGAACTACCTGGCATGGTGATTTTCAAAGTACAACTTCACTTCATTGAAGGCGGATTTTTTTTTCCTTCTTCTTTTAGGGCAGCTCAGAAGCTGAACCTCTCCTCAAAGCGGAAGAAACATCAGCCCTCACCACTCCACCCGCAGGAACCCTCCATCTACCCAACCAATTTCAGCGGTATCCTGCAGGTCTCGCCACCTCCTGCTCCGCCATGCCTGCTCAGAGCTGTGTCTAAAGTGAAAGAGAACCCAGGAATGGGAAAGGTGGGAGCAGACACCAGTCAACATATTCACACTGAAACACAAGTTGTATACATGCATGCCTGCAGTAATTCCCTGCCTTCATCACAAAGACCCCCGTTTGTCTAAAAGGGTGAAATGCAGAGTGGCGACAGACTGGTCCACAGGCAGCATGCCGTCTAGTCCAGTCCATGCAGATGTAGCCAGATAAGCCTGTTGGAATGTCATGAATTCACTTAGTTTGTAGGACAACCATTCCTCTCTCAACACAGAAAGCTAGTAAAAGCTGTAATTCACAAATATGTGGTTGTGTTAACGGTGGGATTTCTGAATTCATTCTTGGTGCGGTGAGCAGTGATAAAAGTCAGGCTGGCAGCTATGGGGACAGTCATTGAACAAAGCTGTATAAACACATGGCTCTTCCTTTGTGGTTTATTGGATATTGTTTGTCTGAGCCGACGTCCTGTATTTATATAGCAGAAGTCCCCAAACAAGATTAGATCCCACCTGGATAGGAAATGCTCGCTTCTGTTGCCAGGTATCCAGACGGTTGAAGTTTTGCCACACGTTGTAAATCTCCTTTTGACATGCGGACTTCATAAAAACCTGATGTTATTACAAAATTTCTTCAAGACCGTACATGAAAAATAGTATAATTATGTGAGCTGCTAAAGAGGCTATGCAGTGTTTGTGATATTTTATGATGTTCTAAGTTAATCAGATTTACTGTTTCTTTTACTGGTGTGCAAACACATCAGTGTGGCTTTGTGTTAAAGGGGATGCAAACACTACTGAAATAACATTTTCATTAAACCCAGTGTTTTGGTCACATCTGCTTAATCATCCTGAGACCCAAGTCTTGCTTCCATCATGCTCATTTAGGTCACTTCCACTTCCCTACTTTTCACCTGGAGACAGGTTTAGTCTGTTAAATAAATGGAGTAGTGCCAAGCCACACTAATGGATTTTTAGGTGGATCCAGGGACGAAAAAAACCTATTAAAAATCATCTATGTCTGATTTCTGCCAACAAAAAAAAAACAGACTTTTTAATGGTTTTGTCTGAGAAACAACCAGTTTAAATGTCAAAATAAATATAATTTACTCAACATATGCATTTATTACCTTACTTTTGGCTGTATAAGTCACACATTTTTGCATAAATTTGCATGCCCTGCAACTTGCGAAGCGACATATTTACTTTTTCCCCATATTTATAAACCAATTTTTGGCTGAGATCTGATTTAATTCATTCTGACATGTAAAATACTGAACACTACCATTTTCAACAAAGGCTATGCTCAACTACCATTTTCAGTTAACAGAGGGCCCTCGAGTAATATGGCAAGCCAAGAATCTCATTAATATTAAAAGTGGCTATTAATAAGACACTTGACTTGCCATACAAAGCCACATTCATCTCGCTCCAGAACTCCTGGAGCCAACGTCAAATCAGCAACATTTTGCCGTGCTGCCCAGGCGAAATGCAGCTGATTTGACCATTAAAGTGCATTTATTTAGGAAAAGTTCAACTGAGACACACCTTTACTATAATGATGAACAAATAAATAATTGGTTTTGAGTGTTAATCTTGTTAAATTCTTGTTAAAGTCCTCCTGTGCACAATCTCGCGGCCACCATTTGGCAGCCAATCGATTTTTGGCACAACACTGGTCCATGTTTCCAGGTGGTCAGTGGTGACGCATAATAGATGCGACTTATATGGCGAAGCGACATATTTATGTTTTTTTCCCCATGTTATTAGACATATTTGGACTGATGCAACTTATAGGGTGATGCGACTTGTATGGCGGAAAGTACGGTAATCACAAAACAGCAACTTAAAGACTACAAAGAGTTCACTCTTGGCTTGTGGATGTTAGGATACATTCACTCATAGAAAAGGTAGTCGTCACATTGTCTTGCAATCCTGTAGCCTAGATTTGTAGGATTATTTATTCACATGTCAGTGGGAGAATGGACCTTTTGTGTAAGTGTGGAGAGTCCTCGGGCTGAGCAAAACAGTCTTCTGTCAAAAGAGAAAAGTGTTAGCAGTATTATAATAGCTTCGTTTCAGTGCCTAAGAGGCAACAGAGGTACTTTTCCAGGCAGTTTTGAAACGGCTCAGGATTGAGTTGCCTGTCACAAAAACGGCAGCATATAGAAACTGTTCAGGTAATGTAACGCTAGGCGTAACACTAAACACTCGAGGAGATGACAGGAATTCAAAAGACTGCTAAAGATATCCTGAGAGCTCTTTCTGTTCCTTGTCAGTCACAGACATGTTCTCACACTGCCTTTGGAGAAATACAAGTGGGAAATATCTGACCATCAGAATGGAAAGCAATATAGGATTGTCAGAATTGTAAAAGAAAGATATTGGAAACTGAGTGTTGTATAGCCTGACATGATGAAACCACACACAGTGCCACTCTGCAGATATTATATATATACACACAGTATATATATATA